CGAGAAAAGAAAATTAGTTGCTTTTCCCACAGAACGCCCTCTTTTGACAAGCCGTTATATGAAAAATATTGCATTTTTCAATTATTCTCAACAAGATTGGCTAAATGAGTGCCCAACTGAACATTGTCCTATTCTTGTGTGTGGAGATGAAAATCTGCGCTTTACGAAAACAATGTTGCCAACATGTAACAACATGGTACCACATTGTATAGTGTTCGTGTTATTTTGTTTATCCCCATTAATCGTATATAACTGTCGTTTCTTATTTAGCTTCCGATTTCATTTCTTATGAATTGAAAATGATTTCGCATATGCCGTTAGATCATGAAGTACAGGTGGTCAGTTCTGCGAAATTATTTTTTGAAAATAATTAGAACAACTTTATAAAACCATTTCACTTTAATATTTGCAAACATATATACCGAATAATGTAGTAAACGCGAGCATTAGCTCTACACGCACATACTTAATGAAGTTGAAAGATTTTTATGTTTGTCATATATTTTATCTCTATATAAACAAAATTAGTAGAACTTTAGTATAATTAAAAGCAAATAAAAAAAAACACAACTTTTATCTGTTCTCTCATTAAGAAACAGAGACACAGACACAGTTATTCCATTAACTTATTAAATTTTCATTAAAGAAAAAGTTATTAAAAAACCTTAAAGCAAGCTACGCTCTCTTGAACGGGAACAGTTGTCGCTTAAAGCAAATATGTAACGAATCGCACTTTTTGGAGATGTCAAAACGGCGAAGACTGAAGACTGAAAAACTCATGGTTGATTTTAGGTTAGGATATCTGTTACAACACGAAAATTGGTAACCAAGAGGGCAAAGTCTTTGTTTGTAGCTATGGCGAGTGCTTGGGCGTTAAAGGAATAACCCTTACCTTCATTTAGATATCTACCAGATTGCAGCCAGCACGTGCCTATCTTCTTCTCTCTCCTCATCTCTTTCTGATCATCAAGGCGTTACAACGCGAATAGGAGACATCCCCTGATTAATTATTCCATATATATATACAAATAAGAAAAGAAAAAAACATTTCTGACTGTTATGGACATCTGTGATTGCTTTTGACCTTCATCTGTGCAAGTTCCCAGTCTTCTAAGACTTTGAAGAATCTAACAAAAGACAGATGACGGATATAAAACTCTTTAAAATGAATTCGATTTAGTAACATGATTAAAAATATATGTATGTAGCGCAAATAAATATTTTTCCAAATATCGAATTGGACTTATCTTAGACCATTTCGACTTACTTTTCAAGCGTTTGCACATCTAAGAGTTCTTATGAAAAGAAAGCCTTTATGTCGCGCAACTAATTTCGATGAAAACAGAATTTATTGGCACACCTAAGTAACTTATTTAACAGTCAGTCTTATCCTAGTGTAACTTGTTTAAATTATGTCGTTATTATCTTTTATATTATCGCAATATAAAATTTTATTATTCCGAGACAAAGCGGCAGATTTAGTTTACAAACAATAGTGAATTAGTACCTGTAGTTTAATATTCCGCTTTAGTTGTACACGCCGCATGACATATGGCTTTACAATAGCTACGGCCGACCCTACATTACCTACATTACTCTATTCATATTTAGCCGAAATAGCGGAATGGACTTAAACTTTCCCGCCCATAAGTGCCCTTGTTGGGTTAACAATTTTATAGTTTTAGGCTACCGCATAGCCAAGTGGCTAGGAAGTGAGATTACCACGATGGAAACCTGGATTCAATTCCCAGCACTATAGATCATACCTTAATCACGATTAACGAACCTCTCAGATCGTCGCTACTGCCCGTCTCTCTCTCTCTCTCCACTTACTTCTAAGCAACAACGTTTTAAATGTATAAATACTCCCCGAGTGATTGATCATCACATAGATATATATATATATATATATATACAAAGAGCAAAATTCTTTTTCCTGGGACCAACAAGGACGACAAGAAGAATAGAAAAAAAGTTTTGATATTAAAATCTTTTACGAGTCGAGCGATCGATCGATCGACTGCTGACAATTGGAACAAAGCGCTACCCGAAGTAAAACGTTTGATATCGAAGAGGTGCGCAGTGAAATTGTGTCTCTCTCTTTCCTATGCAAGCAAGACACAACTTCCAGCTCCTAACTTATGCTTCAAGATGCAAAAAAAAAACTTGAAGTTATCGTTAGGTTAACGCCAAAGCAAACCAAATATCTATTTAATGCGTAAAGTTACTTATATGAAAGTCTTAAAAAAAAAATCTCGCGCAACCTAACACTATTAGTGCATGAAGATGCATACGCCAATTAATCGATGGATATCGTAAAAATATTTGAGTTACTTAAGCGCGCTGAGTTATGCGAGCAATTAGCCAACTCTGTCTGTCAACATTTTCTTTTCTCGTTAAGCTGATAACAAATGAATGAATGAACGTATTCTCGATACTGTTACTTTCAGCGAAATCGTACACACATCTTCTCTTATTACTATTTACAGTTATGTATACAGTTAGTTATGTGCATTTGCGATTTTACCTGTTGGCATTTGCTTAGAATTTGATATGCACTGAAATTCTCTGAATATTGGGCAAGCATATCCGTCAAACATAGTTTACATGCCATTTAACTGCACCAAGTAACTCTTCTACCCTATATGATATTTATTCTCTAGGGTTTGTCTGAATGTATACAAAAATTCAGAGGCCAAATGCCTTACAGCGCTCAATAACGAATACTCGCAAGTATGCTTGTACCGAATAGCAGCACTTTAGAGCTATCGTTGAATTATGCATTTTCCTCATTATGAAGCGAAAAATTTTTCGATCATAAAACTGCTCTCGGGAGACGTATATTCGACCGCGGAAACCGGTCGAGTAGCATAACGAGTAACGAACACATTACAGTTGTCGATGAAGTATGCAGTTCCCTTTGATCTTGCGATCGTAAAATTGATCTCGGGAGACGTATATTCGAGATTATGATCGCGCTCCCACGACGTTGACAGTTGGAAAACGGCCGAGCAGCGTAACGAGTAACAACACATTACAGTTGTCGATGAAGTATGCATTTTCCTTCGATCTTGCGATCTTGGCCTATATTCGAGATTACAGTCGAGCTCCCGCGATATCGAAAACCACAAACCAAATATAGAACGACTTGAGATAAAATAACCGTTTATTACACAAATCTATTTAATTTCTATCCGTCTGTCGAAGACTCGCTCGATCTCTCACATACGTAAGAGTTGCAATTTTCGAGATATTTTATCGAAATGTGGTCCAGAGACATATCTTGGTACAAGAACGCCGCATTGCACTGATAATGAATTTGATGGGAGCTTTCTTATAAATATCTGTAATTTTGCGGTACTTAACTTTTACGGTACTTAATAGTCGGCGTTATATGAGTTTGCGCGTTTCAACTTGGTTTGCCTTTATTCGTCCCAGGTTAAGCAGTGTCTGACAACTTGCAGCACGCGATTCCCCTAATTGCTCGGAATTCGCATCCTTAAGTTAATATCTCGAATACTAATGCTCACGTTCCTAAATTCCTAAACGTTGACAAAATTTCTTTTAATAAGCTTCAAGGAATGCATTTTATCGTGGGGTAGATATAGCCTTGATTGTCTTTGTTTTTGTTTTTTTTGTTATTTTTTTTACTGTGGTTTTATTTCATTTTAACATTACCAAACAATCCCATTGGATCGGCCATGAATCTCTGAACATAACTGCCAAAAAATGTTTGCAGTTAATCCCACGACTGAGAGTTGTTTAGTTTTTTTTTCTTTTTCTTCTAACTACTGTTGCTATTGCTATTGTTGTTGTTGTTCCTGCTGGTGCTGTTGTTTCGCTACCATATCTATCTCCGCACATAACATCCGTTTATGGAACTTATGCCAGAAAAATACTAGGGGGAAAAAAAAAATCCAAACAACAAAAACAACAACAATGGGCATGAAACTATGATACAACAATAACAAAAACAACGAGCATAACAATAACCATAGGAAATATTTAACGTTTATATAAGTTTCGCGGGAGAGGTGGCATAAAAGGCGGGGAGGGAGGAGGGAAAAATGTGGCAAAGAAAGAAAGAAAAAGTTTATAAAACTCTTTACAACGACGACGAAAAACAAAACACTGCCAAAAAAAAAAATTTTATATCTGAATGTTTAGTTAGTGGATGTACGAAAATGTGCTATATGTTGCTTGACTACTTGCCTGTTATTACATGTGTGTGTGTACATATATACATATATATATGAAAGAGTATGGACCCGTATGTCGGTGTAAGTTAACATCATTCCGTACCACTGACAACATAACATTTTATGTTTGTTGTTCTTTTGCGATATGCGATACGCGATAGGCGAACGGGTTTACAGTTCTATCTTGCTGGCTGACTAGCTGACTGGCTGACTAGCTGACTGGCTGACAGGCTGACTGACTGACTCACTGACTAGCTCGATGCTAGCTTAGTCTTTGTTTTTTCTTTTTTTATAACCAATTGTTGTTTGTTGTTTTTTTTTTTTTTTTTTTGTTTCGTCCAAATTGAAAAGTCGCCAAAACCAGTTTATTTTTTTTTTCTTCTCGTTTCTGATAGTTTTCTCTTGAATTTAATTTGAGTTGACTTTTGGCGCCGTTTTTTACTGTTTTGTCATTTAATTGATCCACATACAAACAGGCAAACTAGAATTTTTAGATAAAAACTTGAAGAAATTTTCTCCCTTATCCTATAAAAAAAAGGTCTATTTATGAGATTCATTTCATGTTTTTTTTTTCTCTTTTTTTTTGTAAGGCTATAAATAGAAAGAAAAACAATGAAAAGTAATAATCATTGTATCGTAAGCATCGTGGCACGTTCGATAGGCAGCCGTTGGGTTGGTTTATTTTTCGTCACCCGAACCTAAATTGTTATCAAAGAAATTCATTTAAAAAGTACTTATTGATCTCTATAAATTCGTAGAGCTTTATTTCAGAATTTAAGCTCTTCTTCTTCTTGTTTTAATCCTAGAATTTCGAGACTTTCCTTTTTCCTCCTTACTTACATTCTTGTAATTATAATTCCTCAAGTGTTTAGCGGGCTCAACGGTTAAAAGAATTATTAATGGCTTGGTTAGCTGTTGAGAATATGTCCGTCCTCTTTTAAAAAAAGGGTTGCCAAGAGCCTTGAAAGTTTAGAAATGTACAACTAAGGAAATTATATTCGACAGTGGGCCTTTTTTACACATCACATCACAGCGAATTTTCGGTAGTCGATTTGCTGAATAGAAGAAGAAGAGGAAGAATAAGAGTTGATATTCGGTCGTTAAGGAATATTTAATTCCAGTCACGGTTATCCTGAAACAGGCTAAAAAAAGGAAGGGCAAATTTTAATACTCTGTAACACTGGGTGGGCGCGGCGGATTTTTTCTATTTTCAAACGAAGTGAGTGCAAGTGTGTTGTACTTCATAAGTGACAAGCAAAAAACACGGAAAGCAAAGATGTTCACTGTTTTTGTTGTATAGAGGTGTCCTTCCTCCGTGTTTATAGCCGATATCTCCATTTCTGCGATGGACAGACAAATAGACGGACATGCTTATATGTATTCCAATTTTCGAAGCTTGCTCGTTATACGAGGATTGAAAAAAAAAAAAATTTTGCCACAGTAGAATATTGGGTAGGCGTGGTCAATTTTTTGTGGTGCTCCTGAAGCGTCATTCCGAGCATTGGAAACATTTTGACAAATCGCGTATACCCCCATTCCCCGGTAATGGGTATAAGAAGATCGATGGAAAGTAATTATAACGGTAGGATAAGATCTTTGTCACGTTGGTAAAGGATGCCTTTTTTTTGGTATACGTTATTGGCATACATATATTGGCGCAGGTCACAAATAATTCAAATTTCCTTTTATCATATTGTCGACGGTCCTTCAACACATTGCCTTTACAATTGTAAAACTTACCTCTATATGGGGAACTCATCTTTTTCCTGCCTATTATTTCTTTCTTCTCTCTCTCTCTCTCTTACTTTCCCTTCCTCCCTTCCTCTTTCCCTTTTTATCTTTATCCTTCTCTTATTCTTACTCTCTTTCTCTCCCCTTCCTATCTCTTAATTACTTAGTTTTTTCTTTCCATCTCATCCATGAGCATCTCTCTATGTCCGAATGTATCTATTTTTTTTGGAAACAACCAACGAATTTTCTTCTTTTTTTTGCAACGTGTTATTTACCTCCAACTTAATGTAGTGCAACATTGTTTCACATGCTTTAGTTTCGAACACTATTAACAGGTTTACAAACAATTAAACATGTTTTACACACGCATTTACATAATTGAAAATTCAAACTGCGAGAAATATTTGACGGAAATTGGTCGACTGCTTGATAGCCATTACAAAACACTGGCAACTTATTAAAATGCATTTACATATGTATTTAGCCTTGCGGAGTATAAAAGCAGTCTCTCTAACTGATTGTTTTGTCCGAGTGTCGTACAGTTATGTTTACCGGAAAATTTGCTTCAAACTTCTTTTCATTCCCACACACGCGAAAGAGTTGGTTATGTGAACATCTTCGAATTCTTTGAACATTTGACCAAAAGCTGATTTTGCTTCGGCTTCACTAAGTGACTTAGTTTAGATAAAAGCCAATATAGCGAAAGATTTGCCCAACCATCTGTCTACACCAACGCAATTTCAAATGAAACGACAGTCGGATTGAACAGACGAAAGTCATTTACAAACAAGCGAGCATCTCTAAACGTCTTAAGTGAAACGAGTAAGTTAGTTTACTTTTCGATGATGTGTCTGCCAAGAACGTGACTGCAAGGCGTGTAGTTTCAGCAAATGATGCCGAAAGATAAGAAATGCGCGTTTATCGTGTATTTTTGGTGTTTACATTGTCAGCAAAAATCGGGTACAAATTGCACGTTAGACTATTGGTTATTCTCCTTGATCATTGGTACTTTTGCAATTTGCGTTTTCACTACGAACATTTGTGTGCGAGTAAATGTTTAAAATAAATGCACTAATCGTTAGAAAATATATTCACTTCATAGTACCGGAAGTAACATAGCAGTAGTATGATACTGCCTGTAAACATTAGAAAAATTCAGGTTTACTTATGGGCCGAATACAATCTGTCTGATCGTCTTAGAAATTCGAACAAGGGGACAATAAGCGAGAGAAACTAAAAAATCGTACTATAGACAAATAATTAAAGTCAACTGCGCTAGGTTAACTTAACCTATCCTGCAAAAAATGTACGCATTCTTTCTGAAATGAAAGTTTCGCTTAAGCCGGGCAAGTAAACCCGTTTTAAGGCGTATATCGATTTTTTTCATAGACCCGACATATAAAAGTAGAAAATATTCTTTTGCTTTTTTTTGAGGTTATGTCACCTGACTTGACCTAGTTTGCCTTGATGTTTTTACTTACCAAAATCTATTATATATTGATCGAATAGAATGTCCTTTAACAACGTTTGTATACCTTTATGTAAATGTCACCTTCACTTAGAGAATGCAACCTAGTATATTCTGCAGCCCCGGAGCCTAAGTCTTCAAGTCGTTTTGCCTTCACATGTACGTTTAAGTTCTATTTAGTGGAAAACCGCATGGAAACGGGAGAAATATCGCATTGGAAGTCTTGTTAACTGACTTCGAAATATGAATCGGCATATGCAGTGCAATATGGAAGAATTGATGAGGAATAAGGGCAATGCGGAGTACTTTTGCTTTCATAAGACTAATCATTGAGGGCAGGCACAGTGCTGGTTAGAAAGAAGTGGAAAGAGAGAGAGAGAGAGAGAGAGAGAGAAAGAAAGTGAGTGAGAAATACAAAATGATCGCATTCTGGGATGTGTAAGGCCGAATCGGTAAAGGCTAAGACCTTACCAATCAATCACTTACTACAGTTATGGTCATATCCCGACAATAATTGAAATATATTTTGCCGCACTGGCAATGTGAACAGGGAATGTCGACTTGATAGTCTGCTTTCTTAACTATTTAGCCTATGAATGAGAAGAGGGAATGCTCCTTGCAGTATGTTTAAATGAACCTATTTGGACAACCCTTTTTAAAGAGTTACAATTGAGATATCATTCGCCATCACAAGTCTATAACTTTCCTTAAGTTAGATTTTTCTGTTATCTGCTAATCAATTTATTTCCTTAAGAAGCATTACATAAATTGTCTATATTTCCTGCTCTCGTCTGTGTGAGAAAGGAAATTGTTTCGTTTACATTGAAAGTCTCTACAAATATATAGATGTTGTGATTGGCTTACAATGAGTTGCAAAGTAATTTTAATTAAATGAGTATTAAAAAATGTTATTATTTAAATCCTCTGTACGAATGTTTATGTCACGTTATTTATGTTTGAAATTTTCATTTATGCATTTCTTATTGTGCATTGCGCGAATATATTATTTTCATCATGGGGTTAGTGACGGCCGACCATTATTCGCAAGCGAATCCAGTTATTCTCGCGTGTACCGTAAACTGTCTAAACATGCCTCCACACGTTCGCCGCTGTAAGAGTCATAAAGCCGCCTTATTTATTCCTTGCTCTGTCTATATATTCATCTGTTTATCTACTTCAAGAACTCCAGCCTTAACTAACGACAAGAAATAAGGCTTCGCCCTGTTCGACAGGCAAAGCCTTTGCAAGGCAAATACTCAAATCCAGAAAGATCTGAAATTTTAAAAAAATTTGTGTGCCTCTACTTGCCTGCTCGGCAGTTTGGCTGCTTGTCCTGAGACACTTATCTGTCTCTGCTCGTCTGGCCACATCTTGCCCCACTGGTCTCTTCACCTGTCCAGTATTTCGTTTGTCCGTCTGTCCATTTTTGCATTTGCCCCTCGTTCTTCCAATTACTTGTTTTTTGTCTCGTTTACTACTTGCTCTATTTCTCTCCTTGATTCGATTCCTCCTAAAGTTAGACTTCAATTATTTCCATAGTTACAGTTCGCTTGCAAGCACATCTCCGCTGGTTAACTTACTTAACGGCCAAAGACAATGAAAATCGCTTTTTACCCGTAACTCAAGAACCTTAGGATAGCTTCTGAAAGCGTAGAATTAGTCTGAGATATGTTTCTAACAGTAACTCACGGTTAATTATTAAATCGTTAGCAGCTTAAGAGTTAACGAAGAAAAATATGCAACTTTTTCATATCCGCGGGTATCTCAGATTCCATTTAAACTTTGTTTTTAAAGTTTTTTGTGTGTGCGTGCGTTTTTTTGTTTTTAACCATAAACGTAGTCAGTTAGTTTATCGTTGTTAGCAATGCAGTTTAATTACATGTACAAATATATGCACATAAATGCATATAAATACTTATTTACATATCCATATATACGCATGATGGCATTATCTATTCGCACTATATTTAGTTTCCATTTAATTTTTTTATGCAATTTTTTGTTTTTATTTTTTATTTATTGATTTTAAGCTAAATAAATAACTTTTCATTTTATTATTATATAACAACAACAAGAGATGTTTACTAAATCAAGCATGTCACTTGTATAAAATACAGATATGTTTTATTTGCTACTGTAGGGTCTTAAGCTTAATAAATGTTTTGTTGATCATCGAAACAGCAAAAGCCTTTCGACAATGACTGTGTGTATGATAAATGAAGCAATGGAAGAGCGAACTCGTCTTTTTAATATGTAATGTCTTCCTCTCTCATGGGAAATTTATCTTACATCCGATTTCGGAAGTAATCTCTTGGGTTCATGTTGTTCCTCTAGAAAATGAAGATCATATAAAGGAAAAGAAGAAGTGAAGACGATGGAAAGATCCGTACTTGGCATCGGTATTCGTACAGGGAACTCATATTATCCATTTCATACGACAGAGCAGTCTCCCGTCGTCCTCTTTAAGAAAGTACAGAGGAAAAAGAGAGAAAGGCATGCTTTTTCCCTCTTGGGAAAGAACAGACTTCACTTTCGATGTCAATGCTTTTGCAAAGAATTTTTATGACCCGCCTCAAGTAAGTTCGCATCTTTGCTTTTTTTGCTTCTTCTCATAAAATCTCTGAAACTAAAGGTTAAAGCATTTTTTAACTGATAAGAAGAAGCAATGTTAAATTTTCAACTTTAGATATCTCTAAGAGAAATGCAGACTTTTTTCTTGTACAGAGCTCGCTTCGAAACTGTTTCGGAACTCATTCCTAAT